AAAAGCAGCAGAGGGACACATTTTCAAGAGGGAAAATGGTGACAGGCAATAATAAGGGTCTGAGTTTCACAGGGTTTAGAGGGGCTGAGTCCTGGCAGGAAGTGTGTTGGTTACAGCTGGAGGGAGACCTTGGGCAGGCAGGAGGACGGCTGTAGATAGGGAAAGTCAACAAGTTCAGAGCCCAATACTCTCCCTCTCTCCTTGGGGGTTGTTATTTTCCTTCATTAACCGTGAATTTATGAGGTAGGGCTGTATTAAGCTGTAAGTAGTAAAAAACCCAAGTAATTATAACTTAAATAGACAAGGACATATATCTCACGAACCAAGAAGTCTAGTGACAATGTGGGTGTGTGTTTGGTGGCTGGCAGGTCTTGACCCTCCCTTTACAGTTGCCAACTACTTGGTGGCAGTGCGCCTTCACCATAGCCAAAGGCAGGAAGCGTGCAGCAGAGGGAGGGTGCGGTGGGGGCTGAGGAGTGGGATGTTTCTCAGGGTGTCCCTTCTTCTTGTCTTTCCCCAAAGCCTCAGGCAGACTTTCCTCCATGGGGCAAAGGTTAGAACTGGGGCACCTGACCGCCTCTAGGTGCCCCAAAGGCTGAGAAGTGAATAGGGCTTCCACCATCTTACTCCACGGGTCGTCTCAGGCCTAGAAGGAGGGGAAGGTCAGGTCACACTCCTTGGTGCGCAGACTCAGCTCTGGGAGAGAACCACAGTCATGTCTTCTTCCTAGATCTACAGAGTGACCACTGGGCCCAGCAGTGAATTAGACTATAGAGGACATGAGAAAAATGTCCCTGATTTCAAGGAGTCACTAGAGAATTGGGCTCTGCAGAAGCAAGTGGCCAAGCTGTCCCACCCCCACCCGCCACCCTGCCCTCAGTTTCCCTCTGTTAAATCCCTTCTACTTGAAATACCTGGAGTGGTTCTTATTTAACTGCCCTGAAGCAGACATTTGTGGGGGAAGCTCTCTGAGCCGTGGCTGTGCCTGGCAGAGAGGGAGAATTTTGTCATGGTGGCTGACACCTGACCACACTTGCCTCTCACCAAGCCTGGAGCCCAGAGGTGCCACCTTTTCTAATTCACATGAAGATGTCACACAGGCTACAGCCTTTCACTGACACTTTCCATCTACCTATCCTAACCCCAGGAACTCCTCATCTTGTGGTTACCTTTTTTCTAGATCTATGAGATATTCACTATGGAAGCAGGGATGTGTGTAGCTTTGAGCTCATAAAAAAAGAAAAGAAAAGAAAATCCCTGATCCTGTGGTCCCACACTGGGCCAGCCACATGTGGCTGTTGAGCATTTGAGATGTGGCTCATCTGAATGGAGATAAGTATAAGATACAAACTTGATGAGGAGGACTTATTACAAAAAAAAAAAAAAAAGAAGAAGAATGTAAAACATCTCAAATCATGTTGAAATTATGACATTTTATATTAGCTTAGAAACAAAAATAGAGTATCAAAATTGATTCCACTTGCTTTTTTAATACTAAATCTTTTTTTTAATATTTATTTTTTAGTTTTAGGTGGATATAATACCTTTATTTTATTTTTATGTGGTGCTGAGGATCGAACCCAGTGCCTCACACATGCTAGGCGAGCGTGCTACCAGTTGAGCCACACCCAAGCCCTCTCTTGCTTCTTTTTATTTTTTGAATGTAGCTATTAGAAAATTTAAATTATAGCCTGCTTTTTATTCCACTGGGCAATGCTGCAGAGAGTCCCAGAGCTGCGGCTTCTCAGCCCAGGAGAGGCACAGCCGCGGCTCAGAGAGCTCCCCCCACAACTGTCCCTGGACTTCAGCCTCTCCCAGGGACCACTCTTCCCATGGGGCAGCAGAATCTCCACGGTTTGTGAAGGGGTCCCAAATTCACCACAGTGGCATGAATATTTTGAGCTCAAGGCTTTTGGCAGTAGGCTCTTTTCTGAACTTCCTCATTGACCTAAAGCAGAGCCTCCCGAAGAAATGGATGCTCATCAATCCCACCCCAGGTCCTCCTGGAAACCAGGGCAGGTTTTCTTCTCACCACAGAGAAGTGGGCATCACCGAGTAGATGTCTATAAGCCAAATCCCACCCGCCTCCTAAAGCCACATTTTTCTATGAACATTCTGAGTAAAAACCTGCTGTATCTCTTGCAAGTGTATCTTCTGTTTTTTTAATTGTCAAGGCCCCATTCTCTGAAGCTGAGAGTAGTTTTTTCTTAGTGACACATGGAAATGGGTTCATTGTGTCAGAAACATGCCTTTCCCTTTTTCCCTATTTAAAAAATGTCATCTGAAGTTAACAACGTTTTTTAAAGAACATGTACGACTTGAGGGTTTTTAAAAGGCATATTATGTCCCTGGATGAAAATATTCAATATTGCAAAAATCTAAAATTTCCCCAAATTGATTTTTTGGGGGAGCAGGTTTATTGAGGATTAAACCCAGTGTAACCATTGAGCTACATGTGTAGTCCTTTTATATGTATTTATTTATTTTGGTATGCAGGATCAAACCCAGGGGCACTTAAACCTGAGCCACATCCCCAGTCCTTTTAAAATACATTTTATTTGGAGACAGGGTCTCCTTGAGTTGCTTAGGGCCTCCCTAAATTGCTGAGGCTGGCCTTGAACTTGTGATCCTCCTGCCTCAGCCTCCCAAGTTACTGAGATTATAGGTGTGCACTGCTGTACCAGGGCAAGTTAATTTTTTTAAAAAACTGTATATACTTAAGATGTACCACATGTTGATTGGATATACTTATCCTGCTATACACAAACTCGGATGTGATTACTACTGCCAAACAAATTAACATACCCAGCCATCATCCTAAATAGTTTCCTCCCTACCTACTTTTCTTTCTTTCTTCCTTTATTTTTTATTTTACAGTAAGAGTACCTAAAACCTGCTTTCTTAGCAAATTACCCATATATAGTACAATATCATTAACTGCAGTCCTCATGTTGTACCCGAGTACTCCTGGATTTATTCACTCTGTGTAGCTGCAACTTTGTACACTCTGGCCTCCATCTTCCCATTTCCCCTCACACACCACCACTCTCCTTATAATCATAAACATAATATCCTCCAGTTTCATCCATACTGTTGCAAATGGTAGGGCTGAATAATATTTTTTGTAGGGCTGAATAATATTCCATTGTATATGTATACCATGGTTTCTTTATCCATTGTCCATCAGTTGTTTCTATAGCTTGGCTATTGTGAGAAGTACTGCAATGAACCTTGGGAATATGACTACCCATAGAAGTAATGGCTTTTCCTTTGGGTGTATACCCAGAAGTGGAATTGCTGGATCACATGGTAGTTTCATTTTTAATTTCTTTAGGGACCTCCTTACTGTTTTCCATAGTGGCTACACCAATTTACATGCCACCAACTGTTTCCAAATATTCCCTTTTCTCTTCACCCTCTCAAATCCTGTTATTCTGATAAAAGCCATTCTTACTAAAGTGAGGTGATATCTCTATAGCTTTTTAAAAATATTTTTTAAATTGTAGATGGACACAATACTTTTACTTTATTTATTTATTCTTATGTGGTGCTAAGGATGGGCCTCACACATTCTAGGAGTGCTCTATTGCTAAGCCACAGCCCTAGTCTTCAATATAGTTTGAATTTGCCTTTCACAGATCATTAATGATATCGAGCACCTCTTTATGTACCTGTTGTCATTTTTATGTCTTCTATGGAGAAATATCTATTCAGATCCTTTGCCCATTAATTCATTTTTTTCTGTTGAATTGTGTGAGCTCATATATATATATATATATATATAATTTTTTTTTCTGCTGAGTTGGGTGAGCTCCTATAAGTTGCATGTTAACCCCTTATCAGACACACAGTGCCCACATATTTTCTCCTAATCTCTATGGAGCCTGCTTTGTTACTTTGTTGATTGCTTCCTTTGTTGTGCACAGATGTTTTAGTTTGATGACGTCCCACTTGTTTATTTTGGCTTTTGTTGCCCATGCTTTTGGTGTCCTATCCAAAAAAATCCTTGCCAAGATCCATATTCTGTAGTCTCCCCCATATGCTTTCCTCCAGCAGCTTTAGGGTTTCGGGTCTTACTTGTAGTTGATTTTGTGTGTGGTGTGAGACAAGATTCCACTTTCATTCTTTTGCATGTAAGTGTCCGGTTTTCCCAGCACCATGTATGGAGTAATGACGCCCCTTGGTATCTTATGTGTCTGTCCCCTGTGGAAATTTAGTGGAAGTGGGCCCTCTAGGCTTGGGCATTTTTGTGGGTTCTCTTACTCGTTAAGACTTTGGATGTTCTTGGAGGCTAGGTACCTAGCTGGCCACTTCTCCTTCCAAATTGTTTCATAGACTTCCTCGGAGGGCAGAGTCACATAGCACTGGGACAGTCCACAGGCCATCTGGTACATTCCATAAGGCTCTCATAGTCGATGACAGCACGATTTAAAGGGGTGCTCTAGGTACAACCACAGCTTGTACTTCAACTTCTGAGCCCTTATCTTAAGCGCCACATCCCAGACAGGACGCCGGGCTCAGCTCTGGGGTATATTTAATCAGGTGTGTCTGTCTATGGAACCTTATCTGAAGTTGTCATCTCCAAAATGTAACCCCAATATATCGGGGCTGCCTGGAGGCCTATCTCCACTGAGGATGCACTTGGCATAAATAAGCAAGCTCTCACAGGACTCTAAAAGCCTCTGAACACCCAGCAAAACTTCCTGAGCCCCTTCTGTCCCACCCCATGCTCTGCAGTTGGTGTGCCAATCTTTCTTTTCTCATTCTCTTTTCTTGGCTCTCCTTTCTCATCCTGCCTCCCAGAAGGTTCAGATTCATGAGTTTCAAATTGTGTGACCCTGAGCATGTGGGTCTCCCCACAGGTCAAAGAGGGGTGGTGGAGCACAGCCTCCTCAGAGGTGTGTGGTAGGGTTAGAAGAGCTCATGTGTTGTAAGGCACCGAGACCTGCCCCACAGCCCAAGTACTCAGTAAACCGTGGCAGGTCTTTGTACATGTGTATATTTCATTCCTGTCTTTCACATTTTTGAAATTTCAAGTCAAGGGAACCAAGAGACCAAGTATAACCTGGGTTTTCAGAAGCTAGATTATGGGATGGGGTTGGGGTTGGAGGGGATCTTAGCTGTCCTCTGGGGGACTTTGATTCATGCTCCAACTGGAGAAAGACCCCAAGCCCAAGAGTATTTCTTCTTGCTTCGCCTCCTCATCCTCTTCTAATGCCCCAACAACCTGTACCACCCCTGCCCAGCTCAACAGACAGCCAACACTGAACATTCCTTATTTCAGCAGAGGGACATCATTGTCCCTCCTGTCCCCTGCCAGCAAGGCTCTAGGGCCGGAGGCAGGAACACAGAGTTCTAAGTAGGCAGGAGGGTGGGCCGCAGAGGAGGACAGCATTAAAACCATGTCTTCTCAAGTGTCTTCTGATTTACATATTTCTCACAACTGCCGTAAATGAGTTTAAATGTTTTCTGATTCTTCGGGAATATACAAGTCAGGTTTGAATGGCAGGGACACTCCTTATACAGGCCGAAGAAAATCTGGAAAAAGCAAGATTTTGACCTTAACCTTGACATTGCTTCTCCTCTCATTCCTGGGGAGGGGGATCCCCTAGCCCACTCCAGCTCTGCTTCCAGCTCCAACTGCTTGCCCAGGGCAAGAAACCTGGGGATAAAGGACCCCTAGGGCTCCTCACCCCGCTGTTCAGAGTCCTAAGTTGTCCTCTCCGGGGTGATCCTGGAATCACCCAGGGCCCACCAGCTGGACCCAGGCACAACCTTGTTGTCAACTCATCTTCCTAAGTCCATGAACCCCAAGTGAGGCCCTCATGTCTTCTTAAGTCCCTTCATGGACAAATCAACCCCTCTCTGCACACCCAGCTGGGAGGCCACCTCAGCCCATCTCCAATCAGGAACACCTGGGGCCAGAACAGGTCCTGGACCCGGGAGGGGATCAGGGCACAAGACCCACCAATGGCCCGCCTCTATTGCGCTACCCTTGGGGACAGGAACACAGCTGGAGACTAAGGCATGCCTTCCCCTACCGCATCCAGGACCCCAGCCTCTGGGGTGAGCTTCCACCTCGGGTGGGTCCACAGGCCCCCCGACAGCTTGTACTTATGGCCCATGAGGAGAATTCCTGGCCCGGGTCATTGCTGCCACCTCTTCTGCCCCCTTCCCAGGAATCTGGTCCTCCCGGGTTCCCTCCTCGGCACCCCTCCCCATGCCCTCTAGGGGTCGACACCCACCTGCGTTTGACACTTGCTGCCCTCAGACCCCATCATGGTGCAGTGCGACTCGCAGTTGTCATCTGCCTTGCGGCAGCACCCGCTCTTACAGCCCTGGTTCCGAAAGCAGATGTTTCCGTTCTCCTGTGGGGAGACCAGCCCGCCTGGGTCTCGGCCCACGAGCTGCTCCCCACAGCCCAGCCCAGCTTCCCCCGGCTCCCCCACCGCCCACTGCGCCAGGCACCTTGGGGTCTCGCTGGGTCAGAGGGGAGGGGGATGTCTGTCTAGCTGGGACCAGAAGGACACTGCAGGCCAGGCCTGTCCCTGGAGGGGACTACACAGGTTTTAAAATATTTAAATATTCAAAATAGGTTGCTTCTCTCTCTCTCTCTCTCTCTCTCTCTCTCTCTCTCACACACACACACACACACACACACACACACCATGGGAATCAGACTTTCCCGCCTCTGCTCAGGCCCTGATGAGGCAGGAGCCTTCTGTCCTGTGAACTACTTACCCTTCCATCTGAGCTTGACTGTCACCTTCACACCCCCTCCCAACATTAGTGACCCCCAGTGCTGGGGCTTAGCACATGACATCATCTATCATCACCACCCTTCATCTCTCTGTTGGAAAATTTCAGTGGTCATTCAGAGAGCAAACATTAGTCAGACACCGTGGTGCGCGCCTGTCATCCCAGCAGCTCAGGAGGCTGAGGAGGAGGATCACAAGTTCAAAGCCAGCCTCAGCAACTTAGTGAGGCCCTAAGCAACTTAGTGAGACCCTGTCTCTAAATAAAAACATAAAAAGGGGTGGTGATGTGACTCAGTGATCAAACACCCCTGGGTTCAATCTCCAGTACCATAAAAAAAAAAAGCAAATTAAGCCAGGCACCCATGATGCACACCTGTAATCCTGTAATCCCAGCAACTCAGGAGGCTGAGGCAGAAGGAGTGAAAGTTTGAAGCCAGCTTCAGCAATTTTGTAAGGTCCTAAGCAACTCAGCAAGAACCTGACTCAAAATAAAATATAAAAAGGGCTGGGGATGTGGCCCAGTGGTAGAACACCCCTGGGTTAAATCCCTAGTACAAACAAAACAAAACTCTCATCTTCTGATAGAACCTCAGCTCCAGGAGAGAGGGGTCCCACTCTTTTAGCTTCCTGTTCTCTGCTCTTCCCCCCTAGGACTAAACTCCTCACACACTGCAGGTGTTGAACACACAATAGCTGAGGACACAGGAGGACATTGTTTCTTTGGTCTTTCTATTTCTCTGCTTTCATTGATGGTGTCCACTGCCACCTTTGGCAATTCCTTGAATGCAGAGGCATATTCCCCCCACCTGGAATGCTGCAGATCGCCTGCCTTGCTCCTGCCTTGGAAACCTGTACTTCCTGTCCGTCTTTGCTTAAATTCCACTTCATTAGGAAAGTATTCCCTGCACAGCTCCACAAGAGTAAAGTGTTCATCTGTCTTGTTCACAGCTCTCTCCTAATTTTTTTTTTTTAACTTCTAGTAGGTATTCAATAAAATGTGTTGGGTCACCTGAACAAGGGGCAGGGCACTGCATCACATCTACCTCTGAGGTGGCAGCTCCCAGGCACCACCACAGCTCAGCTCCTAGGACGGGGGTGTTTTCTTTTTCCTCCAGGACACCCCTCCCGGCTTCTCAAACACAAGCCTCCCAGGCCTTAGGACAATGGCAGAGGAGTGGCGCCCTCCAGCTTTCTTACCAGAAGTCTTTTTGGTGCCAGGAAAAATGAGCTCCTGTTGACAAGGAGGAGGAAGGAGAGGAAGAATAGCAGCTGTGGCAGTGGCATCATAACCTGGAGGTAATAGTGGTTTTTTCTAAAGCCCAGCTAAATACCTGTTGTATGACAGCCCTCAGGGCCTGAGGGGTGAATGCCCCATCCTAAGATTAAAGGGAGAGAAAGAAGCTCTGGCCCCCAGCCCAAACCAACGAGGAACAAGCAATGGGCATGAGATGGCAGCTCCCCTAGATTGGCAATGGCTTTCTGGACCCTTTGCTGTGCTCGCCTAGCTGCCAAAAGAGTCATCTAATCTGTGCACTTGGGCTTTAGCGCTAGCAGGTTGTGAGTTCAAATCCTATCTCAGCTGCTCACTGGCTGTGCAGCTGCTCAAGAAAAGTTGCAAGACGTTCATCAAAGCCACAAAACTATTATTAAGTTACAGAAGATTAGATTCTATCTTTCATCTTTCTGTTCCCTTCCCCTAGATCCCTCAGTTAGAATTTCAGGAACTTGGGGCTGAGGTTGTGGCTCAGTGGTAGTGTGCTCACCTAGCATGCATGAGGCACTGGGTTTGATTCTCACCACCACTTAAAAATAAAGACAATAAAGTCCATCAACAACTGAAAAAATTAAAAAAAAAAAAAAGAATTTCAGGAACTCCCTCTCTGCAGAAAATCCAGTGTGCCCAGAGGTACTTCTGTAGGTCTTTGTGACCAGCACAAGAATTATACACCCAGAATGCACAATGAGTGGGTTGTGCTGGCAGCTGATCAGGACAAAGTGCACTAAGTCTTGGGAACAAGAACAGACCAATGATTCCAAGGGAGGAACAACAAGAGACATTTGATGTACATTAGTCAGGGCAAGTGAGATAATGCTGCAGTGACAAACTACCCAAAAATTGCACAGGCTAAGCACACAAAAAATACCTGCTGTGAGTCCAGGGAAGCTGTTCCATAATCCAGGCCTCTCACCTTCTAGTTCCCTGGCCATGGGAAGGGGAGAAAATTGGAAAATCACAAATTTTCTGGGTTCCTGGCTGAGGGTGAAATCAACCGTCAAGGGACTGAGAATCAATGAGAACTTCGTTGTTTGCAGGTCATAGAACCCCAACCCAAACTGGTTGAGGAAAAACATGAAATTTATTGGCTCATGTAACTTTAAAAAGTCCAAGGGTCAAGCTATCTGGTTTAAGGCATGGCTTGTTCCAGAAGATTGAGAGAAAGATACTAGAACCTGCTTCTCCTCTGCTCTTTTTTAGCTTCCTCCTGAATCCAAATGGTGAAAAAAAATGGCTACCAATAACCATAGACCCATGTTCTCCCACGTTCAAGTCTAGTGGAAGAGAGAGTATATTATCTTTGTAACTCTTATTTAAAAAAAAAAAAAGTCCTAAGCTTTGTTTTGATTGGACAAACTGGGCTATGTGTCCCCACTGAACCTATGGCTACCCACAGAACCAACTTCTGTCTAGAGGATTCTGTGCTGGGATGTGGGTGAAGCTCGGCTCAGTCAAGAGAGTGGTTTCAGTCACCTGCACCGCTTTGCTGCCCAGAACCTCCAGGGAGGGAGCCTGACTCCACCTTGGAGAACTCCATCAACTCAACTGCCGCTGTTATTACTTCTGATGGGAGAATGATTGTGGGAACACTGAAAGGTTTTGACCAGACCATTAATTCGATTCTGGATGAAAGCCAGGAAGGAGTGTTCAGCTCTTCACAGGGAGTAGAACAAGCAGTACTCGGGCTTGACATTGTAAGAGGTGCAATGTTACAGTCATTGGAGAAATCGATGAAGAGACAGATTCTGCACTTGACTTGGGGAACATTCCAGCAAAACCTCTAACCTCTAACCTGTGTAGCACACACAGGGAAAACTACCTGCATTGCACAGAATCTGAATCTGTACAGAAACCAATTTTTCTGGGGAAGATGTTTGGGATTTTTAGGATTGTGTAATTGTGAATTCTGACTTCACATTGATTTACTGGAATACGTAAATTAAAATATCTCTACGTTTTTATTTAAAAAATTATTTACCTAAATTTTTTAAAAAAGAGAGAGAGAGAGTGGTTTCCTTTTTTAAAAAAAAAATCAGTATCCTGAAGAGGAAGGGAGCAATGATGGATCTTGGGGATGCAAAATCATTAGATGATATGGCAAATGGGAATTTATAGGGAAATAAGCACTGTATCTAATTTAAAGCAATGAAAAATGTTCACAGAACAACTTTTACTTCATGTTTTCAGTCTTTTTTCTTTTGTACTGGGGATTGAACCCAGAAGCATTCTACCACTGAGCCACATCCTCAGCCTGTTTTTGTATTTTATTTAGAGACAGGGTCTCACTGAGTTGCTTAGAGCTTTGCCAAGTTGCTGAGGCTGGCTTTGAACTCACGATCCTCCTGCCTCAGCCTCCCAAGCCACTGGGATTACAGGCATGAGCCACAGCACCCAGCTTCAATCTTCATTGATTTTAAATTTTACAAATGTATGGGTAAGATCTTTTATAATTCACTACCTACTTTAGCTCTCTTTCCAATGCAACTATGTTTTGAATGAATTCTATCCACTCAAGGAGGGCTCAGTGTTTTAGAATCAGTTTTGCCTACACTTTGAAGGTTTCCTTTTCTACCAGTCAATGTCCAGTCAGGAAAACAGAAAGTACTCTAGGTGTTTGAAGCAGAGAAAATTTAACATAAGGAAATGGCCGCACTGGTGATGGAGTGAGTCACTGAGAAACCAAGCAGGATGGTGAAGCAACTTGAAGGTGAACAACAGCAGGAAGACACCAGAGGCCCTGTGATGGGGAACCCTGTGGTAGGCAACATGAATGGAGTCAGGTGGTGGATAGAGGAGGGACTATGCCAAGGAGCTCAAGGCCAGTGACATCACTTGAAGTATGGGGGCAGGGAGGGGGAGAACTATCCCACAGTCACCCCTTGTGCCTTTGATCCTCAGCAAGTCCTAGAAGCCCAGGTGCAAAGAAGACTGGGAAATGTAGTTCCTGAGGGGAAAGAGCAGAGTAGAGAGCCGGTGTGTGTACAAGCCTGTAATCCCAGCTACTGAGAGGCTGGGGCAGGAGGAGAGCAAGTTCAAAACTGGCCTTGGTGACTTAGCCAGATCCCGTCTCAAAATAAAAAATAAAAAGGGCCGGGGTATAGCGCAGTGGTAGAGCACTCACCGGGCATGGACATGGCCCTGGGTTTGATCCCCACTATCACCAACCAAAAAAAAGAAAAAGGCAGAGCAGGCAGAGGATGAAGAGGCAGTGAAGAGGCAGTCGCTCAGCATACCTTCCTTCCCACCCCCATAGGCCAGGAGTTGCCAGTGTTCCATCTTGTCCAGCTTCTGACCTTCTCCCACTGAGTAAGTCTGCCTCTCAGGGTGGGGTGTG